GGAAGGAAGGAAGGAAGGAAGGAAGGAAGGAAGGAAGGAAGGAAGGAAGGAAGGAAGGCTGACCTTAGCTGCTGGGATCTGACCCAGTATGATAACTGCTCTTTATAATACTTTCTGAATTGATTGACAGTAATGATTTCTGCTCCATGCTCATTGTCTTCCCCTGGCATTGTGTTTATACACATGGGAACCCCAAGGATTGTCCTGTTTCATTTTTTTTCCAGGTTACAAATACATGATCATATAACCAGGTAAAGAAAAGATGGTTTGAAGCTATGAGAAGTGAATTAAAGTAGACATTCTTACCAATGTTTTGGTTATTTTTAACAGCAGGGTGTTTTCCAGAAAATGCCACCTGACCTCCGAGTTCATGCAGGACCTCCTGATTGAGGCAGAGGTCCACATGGTGGTTGAAGGTGGCGAGGTCGTCCGTCTCTTGGATCTGCTGACATATGGGGCAGGTAAGGGGGGGGCGATCACTGTGGGGTGACTGCTGTGGAAGGGCCCCAGGCTTGCTGCCAGCTTTAATCGGTGAATCCAAATCGTTCTTCAAGGTCTGCTGTCCTTCTTGAGGTGATGCTCTGCTCGAATCAAACTGCTTCTCCTGTTCGGGTGCAACTACAGATTTTAGGCGGTGATTTTCTGGATTCAGGTCCGACTCAGAGTCTGAGTCTTCCTTCCTTGCAGCGTCACTGAGACAGGAGTCTATATGCCCGTTAAAGACATTCAGATCAGCGGTCTCCACTTTCCTGAAGCACACAGGACATGTGAGGGTTTCTGTGACAGCCCAACAACCTGACATGGATGCATGAGACTGCAAAGTCTGGACATTTTCAGAATCTAGGACTGCACATTCAATTGTGTTTGCTTGTTTCGATGACTCTGCCCTGTTGTTAGAGGTAATCAGAGGAACATCACATCCTTCATCCAGTGAAGTTGCTTTTGCAGCCTGGATTTGTAGTCTGTTGGCCTGAGCTCTTTGAAAGAAAGACTGCTGTGGTTCCTCTCCAGGGGGCCTCTGCTTACTCCTCCACAAAGCCTTGCTTTGTTTCGGACCATTCTTCGCTGGTGGATCATGGACAAACTGAGATGTCTGGATGGACTGATCACATGAATTACCTTCTACTGCAATTTGGTTCATTATTTGGGAAGGACGACCGCAGTCTGTCTTGCCTGGCTGAAGAAAGCTAATGATGCTTTTCTGCATCGGAGTTTTGTCATCTGAGCTAACAAAGGTGGATATCCGAACACCTGTGAGAACAAAGGGAACTAATCAGAAAATCTTTAGAAAGAAACCCAAGTACAATGCCTTTAAATGTATTCAAATCATTTGGGTTTGTTTTTTTTAGCTTTTGAGTAAAAAAAAAAAAAAAACTACACAAACTTGGACAGATTTGATTTCTAAATGTTTTGTATGCATTTCTATTGATGCCTCTGATACCTTCTGCTGCATGTACAGCATGTGGTCTAATGGGGTTTGTTTCTATCACCTGCTTAAAACTACCCGCTTTAAAGCCTCAGTCAGGCTGGATTAAGCCATTACTTGATTATCCTTGCCACAGATTCTGAAATGGTTTTGTCTGGACTTTGACTGAGCCATTAGGGTCATTATTGGCCTGGTGTAAAGGTGTGATGCTTTGATCACCTACATGGCGATGAGGACTGAGGTGATAGTGGGAAGGAATCAACTCAGTCGCTGTGTTATAGGTTTTTGAGAGCTGATACCCGAGTCCTCGCCCTCTGCTTAATTTTGTTTTTTTCTTTTTTAACATAAATGGCTTCCTTCACACCCCTTTTAAACCACCTGTCCTCTTTGTACAAAACATTCTGGTCCTCAAACAAGTGTCATTTGTCTAAAAGGAGTAGGGTTTTACACAAATGCCTGCTTCACTTTTCAGATTTATATTTTTTTTTTAAAAGAAAGTGAAAGATCGTCCACTTCACCATCCTGCAATCCTTTGTGTCGGTCTGTTTGTGGCTAAAAACTAAAAAAGTTCAAGAGGTTTGAGTGCTTTAAAATCTCCCGTATGCAGCTTTGGACAGATCATTTAGATTTCTAAGTAGCTTGGCAATCGATTTGTCATTTGTGCTGCTGAATGTAATTTAATTACCCATGAGTCTCAGTCGGAGTGGCTGAGGGCTTTCATTTTCTATTTCCATTTTCAGTAAGTCTTTAGCAACAGCAAAGATGTCCTCCACTGTGGCCACGGCATAGGGGAGCGTCTGTGCCCTGGTTTTCACCTCAAAGTTCACATTCTTTAGCTTCAGAGTGACCGTTTTACCCTTAAAAAAAACAAAGAAAAAAAGAAGGAAATACGCTTAACAAATCTCTCTGCTGTGGCAGTATGATCAACAGGACTCTTCCGAAGGTGCTGGAAAAGGAGGAGATGGGAATCTGTCTAATGTGGCATATCAATGACAGATCTGTCAGTGTGCGTTTTGTCAGTTTTCATCGTAATGTTTTCGACTCCAGGGGGGAAGTTCTGAGGCTGATAGTAGCCCCTGCTGTCTCATTAATGTTCCTCTATTTTCTCTTGCTATCAAGGGACTCAGGCAGGGGGGTGATAGCTGTTTCTGTAAAAGAAACGGACAGGTCACGGTAAATGTAAAAAGATTTGGTTTGGAGCTGAAGGGATGCTTGGGGCAGACCCCGAAAACGTCATGTTTTTTCATGCATCTTTACAAGATTTTGACTGGAATTGAGTTTTAATCGCACCTTTTATTACTAATTGTACAACAAAAGAGCCATCGAATAATTATTGATCTGAAATTACCCTTTTTTTCTCTGCAAGCTATCATGAAGTGAAACAAGAACCCATGTTTATCTCTTAGAGCTGCACGGCATGTTGAATTGGGACTGTAACTGTAAAATCAATGTTTGCAAAACTGCAACTGCAGCAGTCTGCATGGATCCATTACGTATTTGATATATCAACTTTAAATTGCCATGAATGATAAAGACAATGAAATATGTCCTTTATTGAAATCATAATCACAGTAAGCTGTCATTCTAATACATTTAGATTCTACACCCGCCTCTTTGACACAATAAGCAGTGTGGGAAGACAGTAAATAAGTCCAAAAGGTTGTGGTTTGGACGCTGAAGCAAAGACAGCCATTACCTGCTCCTCAAGTTGGCATAACTAAAAATATACAAATTAAGTTATTTTTTTGTGAGCCCTATTCTAAGGTATTTCATATCTTTAGGGAGCAGGGAGTGTTATCACAGATCCTTCCTCCCAGCAGCTGTAAGGCTCTATAACCACCACTGTTCCCAACAACCTCAATAAGTTCTTAAAGTCATGCTGATTTTGAACAGTTTCTACCTTAGTCAGTTGAATAACCTGCTGCTTTTATTTTGCAAATCTCTGATGTTGCTGCTATTTTCAAATATCCATTACTATTAAAATGTCCATAGTTGTATATTGGTTATTTATTCTCCAGGTGCACAGTTTTATATTGTTAAAACACTTTACAGTATTTTATTGTGTATCTTATGACTCTTCATTGTTATGTTATTCTTATACATTTTTCTAAGGTCCACATTTCTGAGACCATTTTTTCTATAATCTTTCCGCTGCTGTAAACACAATTTCCCCATTGTGGGACAATAAAGGGATTTTCTATTCTATTCTATTCTATTCTATTCTATTCTATTCTATTTTTACTGAGCATCACTATATCAAGGTAATGAGCGCAGAAGATCGAATAATTCAAAAGAGAAGGTCTTGTTCCAAACCTTCAGAGCTTCTTTCTTCAAGTCCTCTGCTAGATCCTCACACAGCTCTCTGCAGAAAGAAAACTGCTCCTCGGGTTTACTCAGCTCTTTAAATGTCCTGTCAACATAGGTCAGAGTTAAAATCAAAGGACAGGCACAGAATCCATGACTCACATTAACAGAAAATAGACATCTATTTAAAAGCCTACCTTTCAGTACTTATGCTTTTTCGTTCTTCATGCCTGTATGGAGATAAGAACAGGAAGAATGAGCTTCTATCAAAGATTTTTTTTTGTTTTGTTTTTTTGCATTAAATACAGTTCAGTACCTGGGTATGTGTGTGGAGCTCAAACCCAGAGAAATCTGGATGAAATGATGCCAAGACGTCTCAGAGAACAGCAATGACAACAGCGCCATCTGCTTGCTGAGATCAGAGCAGGTGGTGATGCCCAGGGCGTTCAGCATTTTCTCGCTCACCTTCCCAATCCCGCAAACCTGAGCGGACGATACAGTGTTACACAGTTTTGACTAAGATAACACTTGAGCTATAGCCAAAGTTGAGCAACCCTGAGATCCTGTAGTGTTCTACATTCATAGATCTGCAGGGAAATCTACAAGATCCGTAAGCCTTTCATATAAACAAGAAATAAATACTCTTTTGCAACTGGTAACAAAGACGAGCCCAGAGAAAAAACATCACATCTATGTGTTAAATTTTGATGTGGGTACCTATAAACTGCAACTTAAAGATTAATATTTGCTGTAATATTTTGGGGTAATTAGCTAATCATGCACTGATTAAATCACTTTAATAGCAAATCATCAGACAGCAGATGAGCAAGGAAATCCGAAAGATTTGCATCATTTATCTGATCAGCATTGATGTGTAAACAACAAAGTGATTGTCCTTCAAAACACTACAAAGTTTCCCTCACATATGTCGAGATGAAACTCAAGATCACAGCTAGTTGGGTTACTGTATGGGTGATCTTTGCCTTACTTTGCGGACAGGAAGTTTCTGGATGAAGTCCATGACCGCCTCTCTGGTGGGGGGCAGTCTGTATTGTCCGTTGGGCTTGTTCTTGTCGCTGCACACCTTGGCAAGCATCATGTTAGGAGCGATTCCTAGAAGATGGAACAAAAGATTTAGATTAATAGGGAAAAAGGCGTCCCTAATCTTCTTAATGATTAAAAGAATATGGACTGCAATGATGGGCTGCACAAAGGTGCAGTGGGTAGCACTGCTGCCTTGCAGCAAGAAGGTTCTAGGTTTGATTCCTGGAGTTTGCATGTACTCCCAGTGCATGCAAGGGTTCTCTCCAGGTACTCCGGCTTCCTCCCAAAGTCCAAAAACATGACTGTTAAGTTTATTGACTTCTCTAATTTCTCCTCATGTGTGTGTGTGTATAAATGAATGGTTCTTTGTTCTGTTTGTTGCTCTGCAATAGACTGGTGACCTGTCAACCCATTTTTCGAGAGGCGGGGTACAGCTGGAGATAGGCAACCCTCGCAGCACCAGCAGGGATAAACGTAACGGAAAATGGATGGATGGGCTGCAATGATATTGCTCCCAGATTTATACCGGTCAAATCTACCACTATGGGAATGGTAAAATAGCCTTGTTTCGGGCAAATGAATAAGAGTTCACAGCAATATATGGGAGGTGGGTAGTGCTATGTTACTCCAACCTCCATGTGGCCTGGGAAAACCAAAGACCAATCTCACAATTTCTCTGCATCTTACTAAAAAAAAAAGTCAAACTACAGGAAGTTTTTGTGGCAACATGTTGGAACCTCTGTATTTGCTTCCCTCTCACCTGCGCTGGCTGTCAACGTGGTCCTCTGCTCAATACGGAAGCGCATCTCTCTTACAGCCTCTTCGACAGATGTCCCAAACAGTTCAAAGGGACCGCCTGCATCCTCTTCAGAGCAGCTCGGACTGTCCTCAAACAGGATCGGGGAGAGGTCTGTCCCTTCGTCTTTCTGACGAGGCTCAAGCTGCTTATCAGCTGTAAGGAAGACATTACGAACCAAGATGAGAGGGGATTCAGGTCTATAAAAGAAGTGTATCATTACCTATCAAAATAATAAAGGTGCATCTGAATAAATAGAAAGTCATTAAAACAGTTTTTTATGTTTCTTTTTTTATAAATTTATTCAGCAAATTAAATAGAAGGAATAGTGTAAGGAAAACAAGATTGGAGAAAGGTGAACAAGCAAAAGATAAAATCAGTCTTGAGATGAATGGGAAAGAAAGTGTGCTCAAGAGTTGCATGTCTGACCAATAAACTGGCATGACTGAAACCCCACAGATCTATGGAGTATTATCAGGAGAATGAAAATACATATCATAGCAACTGATGGCCTCCATGTCACGCTGCATTGATGCAGTAATCTATGTAAAAGGAGCCTCAACTAGGTACTAACTGCTTAGTATACACATAGTGGGACAACTATAATAATTTTTTATGTTTATTTTATTTAATATTCAATTTTTCGAATACAGAGTTTGGGGTTTATTATCATTAAGAAGGTGCATCAGGTCTTATTGCTGAAGTAAATCACCTTTAAAGTAATATTTCTAATTAGTGAGGTGCATCCTTTGTAAAGCAATGTAATGTAATAAAATCCTGCCTGGCGTGTTGCTCCCGGATCTGTAGCGGTGCGTACGTGAGGACTCTGGCCAGCTCTGCCTCTGCTCCAGGTGATCTGTAAAATCTAAATAGGCTTCATCCAGGCTCATTGGCTGAAAGTTAGGATCATATTCGGCAAAGATCTCCCTTATCTGAAAGATAAAATTCATGAGCACCTCCTCATGGGTCATAAAATCCCCGATAGGAATGTACTTTAATTGGTTAGCTCTTACCTCCTCACTCACGGCTCTGTATTTGTCAAAGTTAAGAGGAACGATCACCAGGCTGGGGCAAAGTTTCTTTGCAATGAAGCCAGGCATTGCTGCTCGGACTCCATATTTCCTGGCGTGGTAGTTCGATGTCGACTGAAAATGTAAAAATGTTATAAACTGCTTTGCTCACTTTTAGACAGAAATGTGTTATTGTTCTAGTGTTGCACCTCTATTTAGCCCCACCCATGTTCCCACCAACTCTGAGCAGCTTTTTATTCTATAAAGAGAAAACTTCCCCACAGCTTGATAACGGTTTTCAAATCTCAGACAAAAAGGTAAAATGTTGCCGTCATATGACCAATGCACCTTCTTCCTTCTCTCTGTATAACAACTAGAGCTTCTCACCATTTAATTCCCTTTAAGAATATGAAAAGAACCCTGTAGGTTAGTGATTTTTATTTTAATTTGTCAATTACTCACTTAAACTGCAAAGTATAATTCAAGCACTACATTAGTTTATGACCCATTGCTTTGGAATGGAAGTTTCAAACCTGGTTAGAAATAAAATAAAAAAAAAACTTAAAAAAAAATTGGGATTTTAGACAATTAGGGACGAGACATATTGGAATTACTCCACCTATACCTACCAGCATGCTCATGGATCCGACAGCCATGGGTTTGTCTTTCAGCTCAGGGCAGTCTCTCATCTCTACAGCTGCATAGAAGGCATCCATGTCCACATGTACAATCACTCGGCTTAGATCACGAGTTTTCTCAAGCTCAGAAGCCATTTTTTCCACCTAAACAGAGATGTTTTTGTTATTTCATCAAATGAGAATAACTCTACACATAAGTCCCGTATAATGTCTAACCTGTGTTTGTGCCTTCTTTAGCTGCTGATCTGTGATCTGAGCCTTTTGTTGCATCAATTTCTCAATTCGCTGGTTCACCTGTTGCTCTTTCTTCACCTCGTTCTCATAAAACCTGGAACCCTGTAGGAGAAAGGAAAAAAATAGAGCAATCATGCCTCATTAGAAATAAAATACCAGATTCCTACACAATAATACAAGTCAAAATTATATATTGCTTTCAAATTTAAGTTTTTGAAGTGTTTTTAATGTATTTTGTAATCTGCATGCAGGTAATGCTTATGCTATGGTATCAACAAGGCAGAAAGAAGGAACTTTTGGGGATAAGAAATAAAATTACAAAGATAAATACTCAGGAACCTGAGCCCTATATTATAATATTTTATAAACAAAGGACAAGTTTTATTACAGTAATCCTAGTTGTTTACATTAACTCGGGTGTTTATCTGCTAGTGAATATGAACATATGAAGAAGCTCTGGTATCAGATGTGTGGGGGTTCCTACCTTTGATGCCTCCATGATGATCTTGTTTATCTTGTCCCTGTCAAGTCCCTCCATCCCAGCCTTGTTGTCATTCAGCGCTATTCTAGAAAGGAGGTTCTCCTCTTTTGTCGATCCTGCATTCTCCATCTTGCCTTGTGTTGTTTCAATAACTCTACTCTGTAACTTGTCCAACTTGTCGGATCGGTTAAATTTTGTTTTATCGTCTAAATACAAACATAGCACTTTAGTACTTTCTGTATCCCTTTTGCTAGTTAAATCCTCAAAAAAAATAAGTCGAACAATCTCAATCTGTAAAACCATTTACCTGATTCAAGAGTAGGAACAATATTTATTCTTCTGCTGGTTGCCGGTGTTATGTAGCTACATGTTTAAAAATAATGACAAAGGCGGTTTTGGCGGCACTTCCGCGTACGTCATCATCGACGAAGTCGGAAACAGAGCTGAAAACAATCATTTTAACATGACTCACAATTAATAAGCTATGGTTATTATTATTGC